GCATAAGGAAGCAGAAGTGGTCCCATCTTGGTGCCTTGGGGACGCACAGGTGGTGACTGAAAAGGTCAGAATGACCTCGGGCGTACAGCGCGTCAGTCCTGAAATCCGCCATAGGCTATGGAGCTTCGAAGCCCAGGGTCCAATAACTTTGTTGATGATTATATTGTGGTCGTACGGTGCAGCTTGGTGCTGACGCAGCGCATTTACAAGCGTTGAGTAGAGAGAAACTGGTTGGTGAGGGTGCTGGGGAGGACCAGCCTGGCCAGGTCGGTCGCCGTAACCGCCGGCAGGAGCGGGGCCGCCAGGCGGGAGGGAGGAGGAGGTGTTGCTTGCTGGTTGGTGTGAGTAGAAAAGAGATAGGTACCACGAGGGTCAAGTTACTTTCTATATCCGCAGTAGGCGTAAAAAAACGATGGTAGGCCCCCACTTTGTTCAGCGTCGCTGGTTGCGGCCTTGACCACGAGGTTACGCCAGTAGATTCGCAGAGAGATCGACGGTCAGCGGCAGCGCACTGCGTTTGTGGGGAGGACTCCTGGCACAAAGTGACAGATAATCTACTCCATAACTTTCCATGCCGGAAAAGCCGGACACGAGCTTTACTACAAGTCATCAATGCTTCGTGGACAGCACAAAAACTTTCACCGGAATGGAAGGCAGATATCTAGCCATTCCAAAACTGAAACCGAACAAGCCAAACGCCCTTCCTCATGCATAGCGAAACGGGAGAAATGTCTCAACCGACTCAAAGTGGAAAGTAGGCCACCACCATTTGCTTCGAGAACACCAACAGGCAGCAACATCGCCAGATACTCAGCACAGTGGACTGGAAAAGCCAACTCTGGTGGTCGGCCTCGACCTGGAAGGCCTTCAGACTAGCAATCCGCCATTACAACGACGCTCGCTGGAAAAGGCATTAAAGAGACTGCTGAGTGGATCCAGAACCTCACAGAGAAGCAAAATTGCGCTTTCAGAGGGCAGCACAAAGCTACAAGAGTCGCAAACAGGAACTACAGGGAGGCATCTCAGTCCAATGCTGTTCGTATACGGTGGAAATCAACATCAAACTTCGCTTTCAGACAAACAGCCAACTCTGCTATGCGACGACTTACAGCTTATAGTAAAGTTAAAACGAACTAGCCAACGCAACACCTTGGCATATAGAAGAGGTGCAAAACCAGACTCAAAGATAAATCAGCCAAGTCCGAAAGCGATGACATCTGCAAACACGCGAACCAGATGTCTACAAAATACTGTGGCGTTGGATACACCCTGATGTATCTTGGAATCTGATTTGAACAGAAACTCACTTTCATGCAACTCAATTATCATTTGGACGAAGAGCAGACACAATATAATGAGGTCAGCTCACCAACACAGCAAGACCATTTCATGTGTGTTCAAAGCCTACTACGGCCGCCATCAGATCAACAATGAATTACAGTGCTCAACTCATTGGACTGAGAAGACCAGATAGCTAAGCTAGAAGTTATCTAAACAATGCTCTCAGGACATGCTCAGAACTTATGTGGACTGATTTAATTTGCGAAATGGAAACTGAACTACCACCCTGGCAGTGAGTCAAGCAGGTGACAGCCAGTCTCCTCGCCAAAATCTATAAATCAGATAAGCCCCCAGTTATGACAGTGGTGCCTCCTCACCTCGACTACAGAGGCGAGAGTACCTAGTCCACAGGCAAGCAAGGTCATCCGACACCTACAAGCGGCACGTCAAGAATGTAAGACACAGGACGTAGTTCCTCTATGGGCCACCGCAATCACAGCCAGTACAAACTCGGCGACAGTAAAAGTAACCTCAGAAGGAGGGCCTCAAAAATAACTCTGAAGCCTGTACCGAGACACCGGCTGATGCAGCATCATGGCACACAGACGCTCCAGTGGATCCAAACATCCATACATCGGGCGGCCTTCTACACTATAGGTCAGACCCGCCGATGGAACTCCAATGACTGCTCACCTACAAGCGGGCTGGTAACTGATATCGAGGCCCTACAACACGCAGCAAACACCTTTATGGAAGTCATCGCAATTCAGGACTTGAAATCGTGCGGCGCTACGCTAGTCAACAAGACGCGTACATCATAACTCAGTCCTCACTTTGGCTGAGAATTCAAGACAAAAGCCGCCCAGTCGTACACTGGATTCCCCAGTCATGTAAGGTCGGAAACGGCAATGGCAGACAAACGTAAAGCACGCTCCAAATGGCGTACCGTTAAGTTCCAGCAAGCGTGCAACAGATCAAAAGTCACCTCGAAGACGCTGGCTCCACATCGAAACGCACGCTTTGGGTTTAATCAATGATAATTTTCAGCGGCTACAAAGGAACCATAACAGCGACAGAAAAACACCAAGACAAACCGGGGCGTATTCATCTCAAACCCATTTCAGATTTCTGAGTTCTTGCAACAGATGATCGAAGTGACGTCATGAGACACCTACTGTGGGAGCCAGCAATAACCATGAACCGCCTATGACTGCGAAGTGCACAAAGTCTTGAGGGCTCCACAGCTTTGAAGCACACTACAACGGCACTCTGGCAAGGCCAAACAAACCACATTCACCACCTGCCGAGGTCATCACATTTTCACCTTAAAATACGGACTGATTTGTAAGTTAGTTCAATAGTTTTATCAAGTTTGGGGCCGGCAGGTAGTTCCTTCTTGGCGGTAAATATTCTGTGGCTATTGCTATTTCTCCAAGTGTGGTAATTATTTTGATTCCCAGGAATTCGTCCTGGAAATCGTCGATGATTTGATGTTTGAGTATGTGTTTTACAGCAATGGCCACGCCATCATTTAGTTCTTCTGTTTTATTTCTCTGGTAGGTTGTATATCCAAATATTTTTATTTCTTGGAATTTGAATTGTCGTGACTATTTATTAAAATTATGTCCGGATCAATGCTGAGGTATGTGTTTGCAAGGTTGTTTTTATTTGTTTCCCAGTTGCGGACGTTGTGTTGTATGATGGTAAGTCTTCTGGGTGTGTCGTTATTCATTGTGTTTTGGTTTTTTGTTTCTTGTTTGTTGCGCGGACGGCGATCTCTTGTCCGGGACCAGTCCGTTACGGATTCTTTGGAATTTCCATTGTCCTTCTTTTTTGAAGTTGTGTCTCCTTATTTTAATTCTTTGGTTTATCAGGTAAGCTTCCACTAGTGCTTCAGAGTATTTGTCGTTAGAGTAGGTCCATTTTAGTTCTTGTTTCGTTATGGCTTGTATAATGTCTGGCATAGTTTTGCATTCACTCGGGATAAATATTTTGTCACACCAGTGAAGCTGTAGTTCACAGTCGTCTGCACATTCTAAAGTCAGTAGCGGTTCCTCGCCCTGGGTATCCATGGTTGCTGTTGAGACTTTTTTCCTTACGGCTCCTGTCTCTCTTTGGATGTTATTTTGAAGGTCCTGCCTCTCTACTGTACTTTGGGTGGATGTTTCAATCATTTGTGACTTTGCTTTGTCAGCTTCGTTTGTTTTGTGTACTGTTGCGGCTGGTGTTTGCTCTGCTGCTCCTTTTTCTTCTGCGTTGACTGTCTCCTGTGGTGCATCTGGGTTGGTTAAGCTGGACGCTTGCAGCACAGATCCAGAAGCTGGGTTGACTGGGAAACTCATTGTTAGGAGATTGTTTCTTCCATCCATTTTGTTCATTCCTATTTCGAACGTGCAAGAGTTCCCTATGTTCATTATGTGAGAGTATAATAGGCATATGGGCACTTTGTAGTCTCGTATTTCGCTCAGTACAATTTTGGTGGTATTCTGTGGTTGTGTTGTTTCTTCAACTACTTTCTTTGCAATAGCAGCATATGTTGTATTCTCCTTCTGTTCTTGTTGTTGTTTTTCCTTTGCTACTTTTTCATTTATTATTTTCTTTTTGTATGGACAGGCCATTGCAAGGGTTCTGTGGGTCTTATATCCTGGTTCCTTCAGATTTTTACAGTTTATACATGCTTTGGCTTGATTCTTGCAGTCCCGGAAGGTATGACCTTCTTCTGCACATTCAGAGTATATTTTAAGTTCCTTTTGAGGACAGTCTTCAGGCGGAAGTTGTTTGGACACTCTTCCTAGCCCCCTTGGTCCCTGTTCACCTAGCAGTAAAGCAGGTACCTGTTGTAAATCGAAAGGTTGCGAATTCGTATTCAGGGAAAGTTGTTGGAGCTTCTAAACTTGAACTAACACAATCCGGAGGAGTGGTGACCCGAGGATCACACACCCAACACAGACATAAAGAGTTCTCAGGTTCTCAACTGGCTCAGCCATGTTAATATTGTTATTATTATCCACTCTGTATCTGTGTTTTTCTGGCTAAATAAACTGTTTCAATTCAATTCAATTCAATTCAATGTGCTTACTACCTGGGCGATTATTCTATAAACATTTGCATGTATACAAACACATGTTTTCAATGCTCCACTAATAAACAAACTGACGAAATCCCAAGGCATCTTAATGCTATTCAAAATGTACTAATTTATAAATGTAAAAGCTAATTTAGCATTATGGGGTAGTTTAGGCATGATGCAGTCATGATAATGCCGAGCTGACGACTGTGTAGATAAATCGATTTCAAAGGCGGTTATGTATTGCGTGTATATTGTTCCCAGTTGACCATTACTAGTTAATTCATGTTTTTATGTTTAGATGAAACTGTAAGTAGCTTATATTTCTCGTAATTATAATTTAAACTGATGTAAGATTTTACATGTTAACGTTCGTACCATGCATATTAGATGTCATGACCATACAATTGATCGAAGTACTTCTTAATAGTTAATTACCAACTGCAGGTTTACTCATCACAATATCATTACAAGTAGTTGTTGTTCGCTTAATAAATGGAAAAGTTGAAAGGAGTTGTTTACATGGAACTTTAAACTGGCAGTGGTGAGTTGCGGGACCTGCTGGCTGCTGAGGTGTTTGGTTTGTGTTGAGGTGTTAGTTTGTGTTGCGTGAACAGCTTAACGTCTGAGTGGTTGGTAGTGTAGCCCCGAGATGGCAGTGTTAGCGTTGTAAGAATGTGATGGTGTCTGCTCATAAGATCCTCTCGAATATTTGGTGTGAAACTCATGATCAGTGATGAATAATGTGGAAAATGTGTGTCCCAGGAATATGTTAATGTGTTAGCATCATGTCTCCAACCTAAAAATGAGGAAAAAACCCTGACTCCATTAAAGAACAAGGTGAGTTCCAAGTTCACCCCTTGTAATATCTCAGGTGACTTCAATTGGCCTCAGGCAATTTTACTCCCAGAAAGGAAAGATCATTAATTTTGACAGCTTAAGGTCTACTTTTTCCCGGCAAATAGAAATATGAATCCTCTCAAATCCCGGAAAAGCCGCCATGGGTCAGGGAAAACAGGTCAAACTGAGGTAGTAGTGTTTGTTAATGAGGGGAGTGAGAGCAGCAGGTGAGATGCTGCAGCCTCCCACGGGCGGCTGCCACACTCCACCCGCGCTCACTTTAAATGTCTCCCTCACTCCAGCCTCTTCATGCCTTCATTTTCACATTAAAGCCACAATTTATTTATGAATTGTGAAGAATAGTTTGATGGGTTTACTTGTACTGTAATCGTTGCGAACTCTAATATTTTTAGGCTTTCTGATGTAGCAGGTAAGCTGCTGTGTTAAGAGGCCAGCGTAGACAGCCTTTATTTTATCCTGTACATCAGTTTTTCTGTTCAGCTTTCATCTACTCGGACTAACTGTTCATACCTACCGTGAACAATGTGTAGTCCTCAGTGTGATGTAGATGCGTAGCCCTTTAATAGCTTTGGACTTGTTGGTCAGTCTCCAGGGAAGTCCATCGACCATTTGTATTAGATGTCAATGTATAGGAGAGGACATTTAAATTTGGGATTTGTTGGAGCTTAATGATAATTAAAGACAAAAACAACACAATTTCTTCCATGACACTTTTCTCACGTTTTACCCAGAACTGAGATATTGTCAGTTGAAAATCGAGATAAATTAGAAAAATTCTCATTAGTGGCAAGAACTAGAGTTGTTCTTTTATTGATAATAGTTCATTAGGTATTAAAGTACTGTATTGCATTTGTTGTCACCAACTGAATCTTGGGAATTTTATCTTTGCAATTAAGAGTTTAGATAATTCTAAGATACTTTACTTCAATCGCATTTCTGGCACTAATTACGAATAAGTGAGATATTTAATATTTTATTATGTTTGTTCATACATGGCGGTACATACCCAGATCAAATGACTGTGGGGCACTCCTGTTAGGTTAAGTTTGGATGGTTAGGTTAAGTTAGAATCAAAACTGTTTTTCTAATGATGTTTTTTGGTGTGTTTTGAACACTTTTTAACTTTCATTTTTATAGTAAATCTCTAAGATTCTGAGATGGGAGGGGAAGGGGTGGGGCTTATCTCAGTAACTATTGATTTGCGTCATAAATGAAGGTCAAATTCGTTCATAACACATCAAAAAACATTAGCTAAACATAGTTTCAACTTTGATTTCGTATAGTGGCAACAAGTGAAAATTTACCGAATTCTGTATACAGCTACACACAGGATCTGCAAAGCAAATATTTCCAGCAGATGCCCTCTGTTGAGCTGCTCCTGGTACTGTACTGCTTGTTCTTGGAGTGCAGGGATTGTCCATCATACCTCACCCTCCCTGGCCTCAGTCAGGGAAGTTACCTGTAGTGGGTCCGACCAATTACCCAAATGTAGCCAAATATAGCCGGAATGAAGTCAAATAATGGTCCTAGATGAATAAATCGGACTGCCAATCACTTCTCGACTAGTATTTGGTGTCAGAAAGTCACAAAAAATTGGAAAACTTAATTTAATCTGAGTTAATAGATCGCGTGCATGTACCGACGGAGCGAGGAATTACCCAAATGTACCCAAATGTAGTTGCAATGACGTCAAATAATGGTCCTAGATGAATAAATCGGACTGCCAGTCACTTCTCGACTAGTATTTGGTGTCACGAAGTCACAAAAAATTGGTAAACTTAATTTAATCTGAGTTAATAGATCAAGTGCATGTACCTAACCTAACCTAATCTAATCTAATGTAATCTAACCTAACCTAACCTAACACAACACAACTCATATTAAATTAAGTTTACCAATTTTTTTTGACTTTATGACACCAAATAATAATCGAGAAGTGATTCACAGCCCGAATTACGCTTGTACGACCATCATTTGACTTCATTGCGGCTACATTTGGCTACATTTGGGTAATTCCTCGCTCCGTTGGTACATGCACGCGATCTATTAACTCAGATAAAAGTAAGTTTTCCAATATTTTGTGACTTTGTGACACCAAATACTAGTCGAGAAGTGATTGGCAGTCCAATTTATTCATCTAGGACCATTATTTGACTTCATTCCGGCTATATTTGGCTACATTTGGGTAATTAGTCGGACCGACTTGTAGTTCGAAGGTTACCCTCTAGGGGTGGCGGGTCTAACTAGCGTTCACCCATTTAGTTCACACACTTGCCCAGCTATATCGCCTATGACAGTTAATGATAGTACAATACTCACATCTATTTGATTCTACCCAAAATGACTGATTTACTAACAAAACTGTTATTTTCCTTTTTTGACACTAGAGATAGTTGTCAAGGCCTACCACCATTCTAGATGTTATCATTAACCCTTAAATTGCACAAAACAAGTACTGTACTGTATGTGGCTACCTCAGCTGTGTGCCCCCAAAAAAAAATCTTTAAATTTTAGAATTTACATTAGTATTAACCAAAAACATCTGTAATAACTTCTGCACTCCCTCTTTTCTTCCTCTCTTCCGACCTGATAACTCTATAGCCAACTCTCCCCCTGACAAAGCCAACCTCTTTGGCACCTTATTCTCCTCTAACTCCATCTTAGACGATTCCCACTCTATCCCTCCCACCCCTGCTCCTCCTACTGAACCTATGCACTTTCCTATAATCTCCACTTGCAGGGTTGCCGGTGTGTTATTCAGGTTGGATGTGAGTTAGGCGCATGGACGGACGGAATACCCCCTCGTGTTCTGAGGGAGTGTGCTGAAGCTCTGGCCCCTGTGCTTGCTCGCCTCTTTCGCCTTTGCCTCAAAACCCAAACTTTTCCTTCTTCTTTGAATCATGCCTTGGTTCAGCCCATCCCAAAGAGGGGTGACCATTCTAATCCCTCTACTACAACTACAGTACTTTGCTGCCATTCGGAATCAAGTATGATGATCATCCAGCTATGATAAAATAATATGAATTGTTAAGGATGTCACCTTCGTTGGTGAGCTCTGAGGTGACTAGAGAGGCCAATACGGGACCGGCAGGGTCATCCACGGATGTTGCACGTGTGGAGGGCTACATCTAGTGCGGGAGGGGCGGTGGCAGAGTCTTTCCGTCATTGGCGCTTGTCTGCCTTGTTATGCACTCGGGCTAACTCGAAAGTATTGACACTTTCTTGTGTGGTGCTCCTCCAAGCGTTACGGTGTGAAGTAATCATCTCCCAGGTGAGGGGGTCGATGTGGCATTTTTCAGGTTTGTCTTAAGACTATCCTTATACCTTTTCAGTTGCCCACCAGCGTTACGTTTACTATTCGTTAGGTGACTGTAAAGTAGCTGCTTTGGCAGTCTACTGTCATCCATGTGGGTAACATGGCCAGTCCAGCGTAGTTGTTCGTGGATAATGGTAGCCTCAATGCTCCTACAGTTGGTATCAGCAAGAATACTGGCATTTATTTTCTTGTCTTCCCAGAGAACTTGGAGGATAGAACTTAGACTACATTGCTGAAAGTTTTCAAGTGCCTTGAGGTGCCTCCTGTATGTGACACATGTCTCACTGCCATATAGCAGGGTGGGGAGGACCATTGCTCGTTGTACATGCAACTTTGTAGATAATTCTAGCTCCCAACAGCTGTAGACACGGGTACGGAGTCTGCCAAAGGCTTGAGATGCACATCTGATCCGATGTTGAATCTCTTCATCGATGTCTGCAGTGGTGGACAGGTGGGAGCCGAGATACCAAAAGTGGGTAACATTGGAGAGGGAAGTACCGTTAAGCTGGATGGATGGTGGGGGTGTGGCTGAACCAGGGGCAGGTTGAAAGAGAATCTGAGTCTTACATACATTCACCTCAAGGCCGAGGTGTGCATATGCATCTGCGTAGATCTTCAGGATCTTCTGTAGGTCGTGTTCAGTGTGTGTGACAAGGGTGAGGTCGTCTGCATGCTGAAGTTCAGTAATGGAAGCTGCTGACACCTTTGTTCCTGCCTGTAATCGTCTTATGTTGAAAAGACCCTTCCTCTGTTACTGGATGTCCACCCCGCCGGCTAAATTGGCACTGGCATGAGTAAGGAAGGCAGCCAAGAAAATGGAAAAGAGAGTTGGTGCCAGTACACATACTTGTTTAACCCCCATTTGGATGGGGAAGAACTCAGACTGGGTGCCACTGTGCAGGACACTGCCATTCATGCCATTGTTGAGTTGCCTCACAACAGCTTTGAATTTTGGTGGGCAGCCAAAATGGCTGAGGGTCCACCAGAGGGCCTCCCAGTTGATCGAGTTGAAGGCCTTGGTTAGGTCGATGAAAGCCATATACAGGTCACGACATTGTTCTCTATCACTTTTCCTGTATCTGGCGGGCAGCAAAGATCATGTCAGAGGTGCCACCTGATGGTCTAATGCCACTTTGAGATTCTGGGAGGAAGTTTTTCGCCTCGGGAAGAAGTCTGTTTAGGAGGACTCTGGCGATAATCTTGCCAGCTATGGACAGCAGTGAGATCCCATGGTAGTTGCCACTGCTCTGACCGGTCTCCCTTGTTCTTATAAATATTGACGATATTGGCGTCTTTAAGAGCTTGGGAGGATTTCCTCCTTTTCCCATATATTCTCCAGGAGGGAGTGGAGACGGCCGGTAAGCAGAGGTCCTCCTGCTTTATACATCTCAGCTGGGATTCCATCAGGCCCTGAGGCTTTGTTATTTTTCATTTGTTTGATGGCAGTAGCTACCTCATCCAGGGATGGAGGATAGCTGAGGTGGGTCAGCTCTGGATGCTGAGGGACCTCCTGGGTGGGTAGTCAGGACATACACAATCTGAAGTGTGTCATATCCCCTGAAGATGGTGCACCTAATGCTGTACTGTACCACAAAAGTCACCAATTTAAAGAAAACACAAGTTTATACGGTGAGAAAACACAGCTTCATCCAGTGAAATAATA